TAATGCGTTTTTCGAACCACCAAGCATGAGAGCATGTTCTAGTACACCCCCAAAACAAATTCAAGACATTGTAAAAGAGCATAATAGGACCCCTTTAAAGTTATAACATCTTAATTATGGTTTTTGTTTTTCACGTCACAAGATATTAACTGATGGACTGGAGTTGTGTGAATTACTTGTTGATTATTTGTGATGTTTTTATCAGTGAGAATGGTCAAGCACCCATTCATGGCAGAGGATCCAATGTTGAGCAAGTGATGTAATGCTAAATTTCTTAACATCTGTTCTGATGCAGTAACTCATCCACCATTTGAATGGCCCGTGTACTGTCCTCCCTTCATGTTTATCCTTTCTGAAGTTTGACAGCAAGTTAAACTCCATCCATTATAAAGTTGAGAAGTGCAAGTTTCAAGTCCAACATTTATTGCAGCTTGGATGAACTCTACAATGGACCAGAGTTAAACTAAAGGAAAAATTACAATCTCCAATAAGTCTCATAACCAAAACATGTTCAAACAACAAACAAATTACAATTCACAGATTACAAGAACGCTGTCAATCCCACACACATTTGCATATCAAACTAGATTTCTATACATTTCCAAGAATATATAAGATCTGCACCGAAAAAGCTCCAGACAACATGCCATGTATACAAATGACAACATCTTATCTATTTTACACATTAATATAAAAAAATATATATATCGACCAAAAAATATAGAAGAAACTTTTAGCTATTGCTCTTCAAAAACTCTTCAAAGCAAGGATTAAATGAGGATTACCCAAAAAAGCACCCCATCTAATGACATGCATCAGCCATGCGTTCAGCTGCTCACTTCCTGATTTATACGTCATCTGCAGTTTCTTAAAGAGTCCACTAGATTGCAGTTCCACAACAAAATGAACTAAAGTACTATTAAACGGGGCACAGAACACTCCCCGCCTGATGATATTAGACATCACTGTAAATAATTACATTTTAGTTCTTTTTGAAAGAAGCAAAATGACCTGTGAGATTGGTCTGTAGAACCATTTGGTTGTACCTTGAGAGGTCATCTTAACCTCTACTTTCCTTACACGTCCATCTGTGCTTGGGAAGGTATTGGTGATCATGGCCATAGGCCAATCATTGCGAGAAAGGGTACTGTCTTTCAAGAGAACAATTTCTCCAACCTGAAGGTTAGCACGTGATTCAGTCCATTTGCACCTTTTTTGCAAGATGGGAAGGTACTCTTGTTTCCAGCGGGCCCAAAACTGATTTGCTAGGGCCTGTACTTTTCTTCATTGACTTCCGTAAAGGTCTTTCTCTGAGAAATCGCATGTAGGAACTCTAAGGGGAAATCCAGTCTTTTGGGTGAGCAGAATGTTAGGGGGTTTTAACAGTGGTATCTCTGGATCAGAGGAGACTGGATCTACTGGTCTGGCATTGATTACTGCGGACACTTCAGCCATCAAAGTACACAGAACTTTGTGCGTAAGTTGGACTGATTTGTTTTGCAGCAACAGGGTCAAGGATTCTGCGTGTGATCCTTATCATTCTTTCCCATGTGCGATGCGTGAGGGGGATTAAATTGCCAAGAACAGCCTTGATCACTTAGATACTTCTGGACTGTATGGTCTGTCATGAAACCGAATTCTTTGCATGCGCCGACGAAATTTGTTACACAATCGGATCTCAGTTGTTTGGCTGGTCCCCTTATAGCAAAGAAGCAACGTAGTGCATTGATACAGCTGGATGTATCCATGGACTCGATCACTTCCATATGTATTGCTCTAGTGCTCATGCACGTAAAAAGGATTGCCCAACATTTACTGTTTGCAGCACCTCCTCTTGTGTGTCGAGTCACAACGGTCCATGGGCAGAATACGTCCAAACCCACATAAGAAAAAGGAGGAGACATGTCGAGACGCTCTGGTGGAAGATCTGCCATTCTCTGTTGTGCAAATCTACCCCTTAGTTTTCGACAGGTAACATAGTGATACAAGATGGAGCTGATGAGCCTTTTGCCATTTACAATCCACAAGCCTGCAGTCCTTATTGCTCACTTTGTGTTTGTATTGTGTTTCACTTCTTGATGGTAGTGTTTCACCAACAGGGTTGTGACATGGTTGTTCTTGGGAATGATTATCGGATTCTTCTCATGCTGATCTAGAGAAGCCTTTCCAGACGTTCACCTATTCTCAGTAAGTCATTGTGAATCTGAGGATTGAGTTTCTTAAGTACACTGCTTCTTGGGATGTTCTTCTGTTCCACTAAGGCACTGATTTCATCTCTGTATGTTTCTTTCTGCACAGATTTGAGAATAACATGCTTGGCTGACAAAAGCTCTTCAGGAGTTCTGGCCCTTTTGTATAGGTGCCAGCCTTTGCATTTGTTTGAGTGAGTATTTGAGTTTGACTTGAATGAACGAACTATGTGGATAAGCAGTGCAATAGATCTCAGGAGTGCTTTCCAAGAAGAGAAACGTTTAAAGCGTTCTGCAGTAAGATGCCTTTCTTTCATGAGAGTTGCAAAGCTTGTGACATGGGGCCGGATTTCTTCATCCATTTCTGGCGTTACTAACTCAAATGTCTTTTGTGTCTCTTGATGAGTTGAGAGGGGTCTGCAGAAAGTCTGGACCAGTATACCATTGCGTGTCAGCAAGCTGAGATGTAGACACTGGCCTGGTGGCAATATCAGCTGGGTTTTGGTTTGTTGGTACAAAGTTCTGGAATTGTACTTTGACGGATTCACTGCACTCTGTTGTCTACGTACACAAAGAAATGTGTGGTCTAATTGAATGTGTAGCCCAGAACTACCTTACTGTCGCAGTAGAACTTGACTGCATCTAGTTTGAAATCAATTTCCTCGAGTATTGTTTCTGCCATTTCTACAGCCAATACTGCTGCGCACAAACAAGGCGAAGAATTTTGGGCTGTAGACGAGGGGCCAGTTTAGCCTTGCCGAAAACGAATTCCACATGACTTAGTCCCTCTTCAGTGATAACTCGAAGATAGGCCACCGCAGCTATAGCCATGTTGGATGCGTCTGAGAATAGGCATAACTCTGTGTATTTCGAACTGGAAAGTGAGAATGGGACATAAGTACGTGGTATATGGAGATTCTCCAGACCTTGTAAGGAATTTTTCCATACTTCCCATTCCTTTTCTTTGGCTTCAGGGAGTGGTATGTCTCAGTCGCTAATATCATGAGATATTTCTCGCAGGAAAGCTCTTCCTCTTATGGTCACTGGTGTCATTAAACCGAGTGGGTCATACAGGCTGTTGACGACAGACAACACTCCACTACGAGTGAAAGGTTTCTCAGAGTTTGTGACTTGAAAAGTGAACATATCAGACTCCATCTCCCAGCATATTCCAAGACTCCTTTGGTTTGGGAGAGTTTCTTTGGTAAGATCTAGGTATTTTATGCCTTTGGTTAGATCCTCTGGAGGAAAGGCCTTTATCACTGTGGTTGAATTTGAAGCGATTTTGTGCAGCGCACCCATGCAGCGCGTCTCAGACCATAAATTGCAATGGCTGGGGATGGGCTGTTTCCAAAGACATGAACACGCATCTTATACTCTGTAATCTCCTTCGACATGTCATTGTCTCTGTGCCACAAGAACCTCAGGCACTTCCTGTGATTCTCCTGTACCACAAAGCAATAGAACATTTGCTGAATTTCAGCAATCATGGCTATTGGTTCTTTTCGGAAGAGTAACAACACTCCAAGGAGGGAATTTTTCATGTCAGGTCCTGTGAGAAGGACGCTGTTCAAAGAGATACCATGATACCGTGCACTGGAATCAAAGACTACTCTTATTTGGTCTGGTTTTCGTGGATGATAGACTCTAAAGGTTGGCAGATGCAATGATTCCTCATTCTCTTTGAGTGGAGGAGCTAGTTTGGCATGCTTGTTCTTTAATATCTTCCCCATGAACTCTAGAAAGTTTTCTCTCATCTCTGATCTTTTGTTTAGAGTGCACTTCAAGGAGAGAAGCCGTGAGAGTGCTTGATCTCGATTGTTAGGGAGAAGTGGCCGGGGTGATTTAAAAGATAGAGGAGCGACCCAGAAGTTTGCCTCATCTTTGTGAAAGTCCTTCTCCATGGTCTTTAAGAAGGCTTGGTCTTCAAAGGAGAGAGCACACTTGTTGTCATCTTTAGTTCTTTCGAACACTGTTTGACCAGTGTCATTAGATGACTTATGGACCTTTGTGGCTGTATTTTGTCGAAAATGTTGGTTGGACTCCCCGCCATGCTTTGCCTTCTCTCTCAAAGAAATGTGACTTGCACAAGGAGTAAGGAAGGAAGGTCTGCCATTTTCTAGCACATTTGTCCTAAAGCTGTTAACGTTCGGCTTATGTACATTACCGAGGCAGACATCGCCGATCAGGACCCAGCCTAGATCAAGTCTTTTGGCGAATGGGGAATTGTGAGGACCGTTGATTTGCTGCCTGACCTTGTGCACCTTGATGAGATCTCTCCCCAACAGAAGCAGGATTTGGGCATTCAAATCTAATTTTGGAATAAATATTGCAATAGGTTTTAAGTGGGGATGACAAAGTGCTACCTCTGGAGTTGGTATTTCCGACCTGTTGTTGAGGATTTCATTGCATTCAATGAGTGGAGGAAGATCCATGCTCACGCCTACGCTAGATGCTTTTATCTGGAATCCATGCGCTTTCCTCCCTATCATCTCCATGATGCCTGCACAGGTTCTGAGTGAGTAAGGACGTGGGCTGCTTTCAATGTCGAACAAGTCAAAGAATTCTGAACGAGCCAAGGAGCGATTACTTTGGTCGTCAAGGATTGCATACATGCTGACTGCGTGTTCTGGTTGTCCTTTCTTGTACACTTTCACTAAGCAAATTTTTGAACAAGAACGAGCTGAATGGTTCATGCCACATACCTCTGTGCACTGGGAATTTATAGCAACTGAGTCACTGAGTTTCTCTTCCTTTTCACTTTCTTGTTCTGTACGCTCTTGTCCTACAGACTTTGAGGTCCAAGGGGTCGGTCCTGGATGCATAGCTGTGGAGTGGCGTTCACTTTCACATTCTCTGCATTTCAGTGGCGTTTTGCAGTCTCTGGCTAAGTGGGACATTGATGCACAACATCTAAAACATACATTATTTTCTTTGAGATAGGTTCTGCGTACCTCAATGGACTTCGCTCTGAATCCTCTGCACTTTGCTAGGGGGTGGGGTTTGTAACGGATAGGACAGATTTTGGTTAGATCATCTCTTTTCTCTTTTTTATCAGTTTGAGATTCCAGCGAGGTGGTTATGTCTGTCTTGTGTGCAGATATGAAACCTTTTGATGCTGTGTTCTTAAGTGAGGGCTTCTCATTCCTGGGAGTGGTGGTGCTGCTGGTAGATAGTTTGAAGCTGGGGTCATTTCGTATCCAATCTTCGCAACATACAAACTGTGCAAAAAAGGAAAAAGGAGGAAAGGACACGTAGTGTTCATCTTTGTACCTTGATCCAATGGAAACCCTCTTCTCCTGCAGATTATGTGGCAATTTATCTACAATTAGGTTAATAGCATGGGCAATGTCTAGGTAGGTTAACCCTGGTAAGTAGCCATCCTCTTTGGCAGACTGGAGCTCCAGGAGCAGATCTCCAAGTTCTCTTAACTTGGAATTGTCTTTGTTGGATATGCGTGGAAAGTTGTTAAGCTTACTAAAAAATGTACTTTCTACAATCTCAGGGGCAGCATAGCACTGGTTGAGTCTGTCCCAGACCATTTGTAAAGCTAATTTTTGGGTTGTTTATGTGCACAGACCTGAATATTTTCACATACTCTGACGACTCTTTACCAAGCCACTTTGCTAAGACGTTCAGTTCCTCACCTGCTGTCAGATTAAGTCCTTCAATGACATTGATGAAGGAAGCTTGCCATGCTCTATAATTTTCGGGTTGGTCATCAAACTTTGTGAGCCCAGAGGTAACGAGTTCTCTTGGTGCTTGATATTTTGCAAAGTCCATTATGCTGACTGCTTTGGTAGGATATACCTGCGGTGTACTGTATGGTGGCGCATATACGAAGGAATGCTGATGAGGAGCATTGTTTGAATGAGGTGAAGGTGGCTCACTCTTGAATGGAGATCGTTTAATGATGTGGGTGTTCAGCAACTGGAAACTCTGAGCTTGAGGAATTTGGGATTCAGCTGGTTTTGTGACCTCATCCGTCTTTGTCTGTTCAGCGGTTACAACGTATGGAGTGGTGTCATCGTTGCGTGAATGATTCACCTGAGTGACATCATGTGTTGCTGACAACAGATTTGTGTTGCTTTGCGATGGACTTCTAGGGATGCTGTCTATGGTAATCCATTTGCTTTGATCCTCAACATACTTATTTGTTCGCTCGTAGACAGTTAGAGGTGTGTCAGAACTGCTTTTGGACTCACTGTGATATTCAGCCACCTCTGCTGCAGCCTCTAGAATTTCAGCCTCAGCCTGCACAGCTGCCGCCTTCTTTTCTGCTTGTAATGCTTCCAATGTAGCCTCCAATGTGGCTTTCTCTGCTTCCAACCTTGCTTTTTTTTTTTTCATGGCCAGCTCTCTCTCTGCGAATGAAGCACATGCTCGTGCCGCTTCAGCCACAGCTCTTGCCCTAGCTGTTGCATTACTGGTTGAAGATCTTGAAGAGGTGCTCCTAGAACTAACTGACGAAGCTTTCCCAGATTTGTTGGGTTTATCCTCCATAACTTATCTTGATGCTTGCTTTTCAATAGCTTCCTAATAGCTTTTCACTGTACTGTCCTCCCTTCATGTTTAACCTTTCTGAAGTTTCACAGCAAGTTAAACTCCATCCATTATAAAGTCGAGAAGTGCAAGTTTCAAGTCCAAAATTTATTGCAGATTGGATGAACTCTCCAATTAGTCTCATAAACAAACAACACAAATTACAATACACAGGTTACAAGAATGCTGTAAATCCCACACACATTTGCATATCAAACTAGATTTCTATACATTTCCAAGAAAATTTAAGATCTGCACCGAAACAGTGAACCAAACATCAGCGCGCCCGCCTCTGTGTCACCATTGGAATGCGACTGAAGTACAAAGCCTATAATAAATTTACATCATAAATAATATTTTAACATTCAGATACGTTACATCGCAAATATGGAAATATTATGGAATATTTGAATTTGTGCCGAATGAGAGAGGTAGAATACACGAGAAGAAAGCTCCATTTCGCAAACAGTTGAGTGCACAAGCCTTTAAAGTATACTCATTTGTCAGTCTGTGAGAGACGCATTCAGAATCAGCACATGGTCACTGTCTAGTGGGTTTTGTTTTCAAGTGCGCAACTCATGGCATTCGCTGTTCTTCTGCTGGTGGCCAGTTATCAAACAGCGTTGCATTACTGCGGGCGCCTCCTTCTGGATTGGGGGTGAATTGCCTGTATTCGTTGTAAGGCCTCATGCACCGAACTGAGATGTCCGTACCATGACGGTTCAGTACGAATACATGTATCGTTCCACCCCTAATATATATATATATATATATTGCCCAAAACAAATAGAAGAAGAAACGTACAGCTATTACTCTTCAAAAACTCTTCAAAGCAAGGATTAAATGAGGATTACCCATAAAAGCACCCCATCTAAAGACATACATCAGCCATGTGTTCAACTGCTCACTTCCTGATTTATCTGCAGTTTCTTAAAGATTTCACTAGAGTTCCACAACAAAATGAACTAAAGTACTATTATACGGGGCACAGAACAGCCCGAGGGTGAGTAAATTTTAAGTAAATTTTCATAAATTTTTGTGTGAACTATTCCTTTAATTTATTTAGGAATTATGTTAATGATATGATGATAACAGCCAAAATATATTGGTTAGTATTGGTCTGGTCATGTGATTTCAACATGTCTGGCCCATTAGGCGTCCCACTCCACTCTGTAAAATAAAACAGCTTTTATGAGAGCATATAATACATTATTTATCAATTATTACTTTATGTGTAAAGAAATGTAAAAAATGTATTAAAAAAAAAAGTGCACCTTTAAGCAAATAGAATTGAATGCCTTTGACTTACCGACTATGAAGGACAATGTAAATATGAATTAAATAATAAATTGTATTGAAGCCCATGACAAAAATGATCATGCATGTTACATTGGTACTTCACATAACATTGCAGCCAATGTATGTCTATAGTATGTTTTATGTACATCATTGTGTCTATGTTTTTCTGTCTAGTATGTTCACTGAAGTAGGTGTTTGATTTGACATGTGACAGTTCATTTTTGTGGTTGGAAAAAAATGAAGCACAATTCATTTGTGAAAAAAAGAAAAATATCCAGTAATAAAGCAGTGTTACGTTTTAAACTTGGCCATAGATATCGACTGCTGGATCATCTCTGAATAATCAAATTTTTGTACATTTTTAAATCATGCTTTGTGGAAGAAAAATCTTATTTTTCACACATAGTTTCGGTACAGAGTGCTTTATTGCATGATATGACCATTATCTATGTTGCAGGTGAAGGTTATAATTGCACTCTAATTGAGTTTCCTTTTTTTCTTTCTGTTGAGAAAGATGTCATTACTGGTGTGATTTATAATATTTTATCCAGCTTAACCCCATTTTCTTTCTCAGTGATCATTTGAGAAGCAGTCAGCAAAAAGAAAAGGATATGGTTCAAAAAGTAGCCATGGACGTAAATCAATCAAAAAAAAATACATGTCAGGCATTGTGAACAGTGATCTTTTTGTTCAAAAACGTCTGTTACATAGCCACTACATTGATATTTAAGTCAAAGGAAATTAGTGTTATTTGTAGGAGTGGGTATTAATAGGCTTCTAATAAAGTTTGAAGGGGCAATCTGTTGTACATTGATCATATGCTGGCTCTTAAATGGTGTGGCATTACTTTAAAATAAGGCTAATGCAAGAAAAGGTCAATGTCTGACAAGAGAGTGGGGATGAAAAGCAACTGGCATTCTGGGTAATCTGCAAACACAGTGGCAGAAAGCCCTTTTATTAATCCAGTGAATTCAGGGCATCTTTGAAAAATGAACATTGGATCGTGTAAGCTGCTTCAAGGTTTTTTTTTTTTTTTTAAATCACCATAATTACAATCAGAACCTTATTGATAAAAAAAAAGATTTTAAGGATAAGGGGTTATAATTATAAATGAATGTGCAGTACAGTATAAATGTGAGTGTGGTCACAGAGTCTTGTATGAGGGCAGGTGGGGGTTTTGGAAGCTCAGCTATGATTAGATTGTGAGATGCGACAAGTCACTGAGACAGCTCGTAATTACGGCCCACCATCTAAAAGTACACACTCGCTTCCATGATGGATTGAAGCTAATTACAGTGAGGCCTTGAAACTAAAATTGCTTTCAGTCACTGATTATTCTCACTGATTATTGACAACTTTGGGACATTGGGATCAACAATGTGTATTTGCAGATCTTTGATAAATTTAATCATTGAATCAAAAGAGTCAAAGCTAAGACAGAAGGGTTTAATTAGCATATAAAGAGTCCATTTTCTAATCAAATATTTTTCAAAGTTCTTTTGAAGGAGTAAGGCTTTCTTTTATTTGTTGCTTACTAGTGGTGTTTGCAAGTATCACATTATTATTATTAGGAACAAAACCCGATAACCCTACATATTAAGTTTACTCACTCTCATGTCATCCAAATGTGTTTTTTTTAAGAAGAAGAAGAATGAGTGAAAAAAATGTGCAAAAATTGTACCTTTAGGGGTACAACAGCTTGCCACTGGTACAGTACCCTCAAATTGACACCTTTGTACCCGTTTTTACCCCTAAGGGTTTATAATAGTACCATAAGTGAACATATTAATTCCTTTACTAACCATATTACTATTCTAAGGTTCTAATATGCACCCTTTAGGGGTAAAGAAAGTGTCCCTAGGAGGGTACTACCCCAGTGAAAAGCTGTTACAACCCTAAAGGTAATTTTTATTTTGTTATTTTTGAGAGTGTGAAGGCATACAATCAATTTAAATGACTGTAACGAAGGAGGCGTGACAACGGAGTGGGGATCCATTTGCAGGCTTTATTAAAAGAGAGTGTGGTCAAAACAGGCAGGGTCCAGAAACAGCAAACAGTAACAGCAGAGACAAGGCAAAATAGTGATCCAGATAAACAGATCTGCTATGCTGCTGCTGCTGCTGCTGCTGCTGCTGCTGTGGCAGAACAAGTACCGAGACTTGCTACTGCCAATACATCCACATACATGCTGCTGAGAGCATGTAAGAAATACTGCTGCTGCACATATAACATATATGAAATAACCCCCATAGCATACATGAATCACCCCATAGCAGATCTATACTGATGGAACTGGGGAAGGTGAAGGGTTTCTGAAGTGTGCTGCAACTGCTACAGCAAGCACTAGCCAATAATTTAAATGTTGAGCAGCGAGCTCATTGGCTGCTGATACAAAAAGAGCCAATCAGCTGCGCCATGTGATAATGATGTCATTATGTCAGATTGAGTTTGACCTATCAGACTGCACCATCTAGAATTTCATGCCAGAACTTTGGATTTGTAAAAAAAACAAAAAAAAAAACAATACATTTGTCTGTAACAAATTTAAAAGTATAAAGTTTTAAGTTTTTTTTATTTTAAGTGCAGTAAGTGGTTTTTCCATCTCAAATTAAACCAAATCGTTGATCAACTGTATTTATAGAGCACATATCAAATATGGCTACTTATCAATAACATAAAACAACATTGATTCTTGAGTGTCATTTGACTTGACATCATGGCACAAGCACTTAGACCTAAGCCATATATAGAGATCAGAATATCAATCACACAATTTATTTATTTATTTAAAGGGTTAGTTCACCAAAAAAATGAAAATTAGCCTGTGTTATACTCACCCTCAAAGCATTCCTAGGTGTATGTGACTTTCTTCTTTCAGACAAATCCAATCGGAGTTATATTAAAAATTGTCCTGGCCCCTCCAATCCTTTCAATGGGGGTAAGTGGGTGTAAGGACCTTTGCTGTCTATGGGAGGGTCAGAGAGCTGTCAGATTCCATCAAAAATATCTTAATTTGTGTTCCGAAGATGAACGGAGGACTTACGGGTTTGGAACAACATGAGGGTGAATAATTGACAAAATTTTCATTTTTGGGTGAACTATCCCTTTAAGTAAACAGAACACAAAAAAGGTTAAGTAAACAAAACACAGACTATAAGAGTATGCACTGTCACAAACAACGCTAGCTAGCGTTAGCTTGTTAGCTTGAGAATATGTACCTTCAAAGTTGTCGATATAACTCGAAATATACAATTTGAAGCCCTTCTCCTTTTTACTTGAAGGAGTGACCGATGCTAATCTTACAATTCGATTGACATCGTTCACTGTAATCCGCGTAAGTTCTTGCAAGCAGTGAGTGTAAAATGCCATGCTGAGAGCGATCATTGAAACGGTAGGTAAAAACCGCTTCCGGCGCAGCACTGGAAGTTGCGGAGCAACTGAGACGAAACGCAGAAGTAGTCATGCATAGAGTCTATTGAGGCTTGACTGGAAGATACGCTTCTGCACCATTAAAAGATGATGTCAAGTTCAACTAATTTTCTCCAGTCAATAGTTCAGGGTACTAACCCTTGGAGGCCACATGCTCTGATCTAATCCTTTAGTAATTCAGCCAAACCTTCTCAAACAGCACACAAGTCAATAATACACTGCCCCCAGATACA